TACTGAGCACCTAGTCTGTGCCAGATGCAAAGAAAAATAAGAAATTTTTCCTGCCTGTGATACTCATTGCTTAATAGGAGTGCTAGGAAAAATAGTCATCTGTTTATGTGCCTATTCCCGCCACTAGAAGGTGAGCTGTTTGGGTTTCCAGTGCTGTTTTGCACATCTCAATGCCTAGACTTGGTATGCCCAATAAACATATTTGAAGTAAACTTTTGGCCAAAAATACATCTGGAGGAAAAAGTTAATGTGTGATATATGAAAAAGTACAAATAAAACTCGATGGCTATTCACAAGAGAGAAAGATTGCATCACAGAGGGGTGGGGCAGGAAAAAGTGCTTGGCTAGAGGATTAGCAGGCATTTGAAGAGCTAAGCAGTGTGATTTAGGATATCTAACAAAGCCCTGTATGTAACAGCCTTTTCCCACTATGTAAACACAGATTACCCACTCAAGTTCTAATACAGCCTTCTAGCTCCTTCTCTTTCCTCTCAAGCAGACTTTGAAGTGCATAATTCCAGTCTTGAAATAATGTTCCCCTGGGAATGCAGTAAGGAAAGGGGTTTTTCACAAGCCACACAGGCTCCATGTGCATAAGGAAGTTGCAACTTCATGACCATCTCTCCATACTTCTGTAGGGGGAGCCAAGGCTGCTCTTAGCTCATTGACTCATAGGTCAGGGTCAGTCTTTCAGTGTGGAGACACGGCAAAGCCAGCTGGAAGCTGCCAAGATTACACAAGTCAGAGATGTAAATGGGGGTGGTGTTGGTTTAAGGGAAAAAGCCACAGAGGCAACATCTTTCTTACTTGTTGTGTAATATNAAGCAGACTTTGAAGTGCATAATTCCAGTCTTGAAATAATGTTCCCCTGGGAATGCAGTAAGGAAAGGGGTTTTTCACAAGCCACACAGGCTCCATGTGCATAAGGAAGTTGCAACTTCATGACCATCTCTCCATACTTCTGTAGGGGGAGCCAAGGCTGCTCTTAGCTCATTGACTCATAGGTCAGGGTCAGTCTTTCAGTGTGGAGACACGGCAAAGCCAGCTGGAAGCTGCCAAGATTACACAAGTCAGAGATGTAAATGGGGGTGGTGTTGGTTTAAGGGAAAAAGCCACAGAGGCAACATCTTTCTTACTTGTTGTGTAATATCTCCTGCTTTGAAATTTTGAAGAAGTTTCTAGAACTGTGCATAAGACCATTTCTTTTTTGGGGTGCGCTTTCTAGCTGACCAAAAAACGTGGGCTATAGGAAATTAAAGAGCCAAAATGTAAATTAACTAATTTTTATTAAGCACCCCTTGGATTCCTAGCAATAGGAAGAGATGTGGGTATGGGAAATCACATAGAAAAGAAAGGTCATCTTTTTAGGAGTTATAATTTAACCATATTCACAGGAAATAAACAAGAGATGTCAGGAAAACCTGGTGAAAGAACCAGCCCGGGTGTACAGATAAATGACTGCTCTTCTTTGTGACTACCACGTGATCTTGAGCAAGCTACCTCGCTTCTCTGTGCCTCAACCCTTCATCCGTAACATGAGGAGTTGAATCACAGGAATGCACTGTTCCTCAAATAAGCTTAGGCACATTAGACTAGCTAAGTATCTCCTTTTGTTACTTTACGTAAACTCTTGTACCTTAGAAAAGTGTCAAAGAAAAAGTGGAAACAAGCTACTATTAATCCCAGGTTATTAGAGTTTAAAAAAAAATCTTGTCTAGTCCAACACCTTACTTAAAAAATGAGAAAACTGAGACACAGAAATGAATTCAGTGGTCTAAGAGCACAATCAGTGAGTGGTAGCTCTGTGTCTCTTGACCCAGTTCTCTTGCTCCTGTTTCTAATTAAGCTATTTCCTAGTCCTCCCAAAAGCATACCTTTATTTTTATCTGGCAGTCTTTTTGGTATTCACTGAGACTCATTTTTTTTTCCCACAGCTCTTTGATATTTTAACTAGTTATTAATAACTCAGAAGGCATGAGAAATGGCAAGGGCAAAGCTCAATAATTTTCTCAGACAACAGAAGTAATATTTAAATAGTACCTTTCCATCACCTCTTCCTACCTAGCATAGTTTAGACATCTCTTTGACAAAACGCTGCAGTTGAGAAGAAAACTGCTACTGGAACTTAGGTGTTAATAACATGCTAGTTATCTTTGGGAAGAGAGGGCTATAAACAAAGATATTTTGAAACTATTATATTCATGCCTACATAAGAAACATGATTTGTTGAAGCTGG